ATGGATCCAAGAAGGAAAATAAGAAGTTTAGAATATATTTAGAGACAAATTAAAATGAAAATACAACATACCAAACTTAAGAGAAATGATGAAAGTAGTGCTAATGGGTAGATTTATAACTATAAATTCTTATACTAAAAATAAGAAATATCTGAAGAAAGGGACTGGGGGATGGAAGATGGAAGGTGGGAGGGAAAGAGGAAATACTGGAGAATTATATTGGCTTCATTATATTATTTTATTGTATACATGAATGAATAAGTAATAATGAATCCAAACATCATGCATAATTATAATGCATCAATAAAAATATGAAAAAATAAGAAATATCTCAGATCAACTACCTAACCTTATCACTAAGGAATAAACTAAAGAAGAACAAACTGAATTCAAATTTATCAAAAGGAAGGGAATACTAAAGGTTAATAAGAGATAAACAGAGAATAGAAAAACAAAGAAACAAGTCAAAGAAACAGTTTTTTGAAAAGATAAATTGATAAGCTTTCAACTAGATGTACTAAGAAAAAGGAGAGATGACCCAATTTACCAAAATCAAAAATGAAAATGGAAATGTTAGTACTGATTCTACTGAAGAAAGAAGAATTAAAAGAATATTTCAAACAACTTTACAGTAACAAATTTGGGGTCCTAGGAGAAATGGACAAATTTGTAGAAATGCAAAATCTACCAAGACTAAATGTATAAGGAAATAGAAAATTTGTATAGTAAGGAGATTGATTCAGTAATCAAAATTCATCTGAAACACCCACCAAAAAGTGCCCTGGATTTGCTGACTTCATGGGCGATTCCTACCTGTCATTTTAAGAACTAATACCAAGGCCCAGACAACAAAAGAAAGAATATATACAAATTAGATTTTGGGAATATTAAAAAATTGGGGACATCATAAGACATCAGTGTGATGAAAAGGCAATCTATTGAATGGAAGAGATTATTTGAAAATCATGCATTTGATAAGGGATTCTTAAATATTGAGAATACCTAAAGCTCAATAGCAATAACAACATCATCTGTTCAAGAGTAGAAACTTGAAAAAAAATGCTTATTCAAACAATATATACAAATGATCAATAGGCATATGAAAATATGCCCCACATCACTAATCATTAGGGAGAAATAGATCAAAACCACACACATTCTTTACAGTGGTTAGTATTATAACAAAAAAAAATAAGAAAAGCAACAGAAAATAACAAGTGTGAACAAGGATGTGGAGAGATTTGAATCCTTGTTCCAATTAGTGCAAAATGTTATAGCCAGTATGGCAAATAGTATGTCATATTCTCAAAAACTTACAGGGAATTACTATACGACCCAAGAATTCTACTTCTTGGTTCTATAGTCAAAAGAATTGAAAGGAGCATTCTTGAAGAGATTTGTACATACACATTCATAGAAGTTTTTTGGGGGAAGCGGAGGACAGAGAGGTACAAGGGATTGAACTCAGGGGCACAAGCCACCATGCCTGGCCCACATTCATAGAAGTTTTAATCAGAATAGTTAAAATGTGGAAGCAACCAAAGGGTCCACCAACAGGTAAATGTATAAGCAAATAATTAGATATTATATAATACATATATACAATATTTATATATATATATGTATATATGCATACATACAATGGTATATTATTCATCAATAAAAATTTTAAAAATGATGAAAGGTGCTACAATATGGATGGACATTGAAGACATTATGTAGAATGAAATATGCCAGTCATGTAAAAACAAATATTTAACAGTCCCACTTATTTGAGCAATTTAGACTAGTGAAGATCATAGAGACAAAATAGCATGGCTATTGCTAGGAGTTAGAGAAGGTGAGGATGAGGAATTATTATTGAATGGGTGTTGTCATCTGGAATATTCCCCCAAGAATAATATGTTCAAGGCTTGGATTCTAATGCAGCAATGTTCAGAGATGGGGCTTTGGTGAAGTGAATTGGATCATGAGGGTGTTAAACTCCTCAGTGGATTAATCCATTGATAGCTGAATCAATTAATGGGAGGTGGTGAAAACTATAGGTAGTGGGGCATAGTTGGAGGCAGTAGGGGACATGCTTTGGGAAGGGTATTTCTTGTCTCCAGCCCCTTCCCTTCTACCCACCTCTCTCCTTCCTGGCTGCCATGAGCTGAGCAAGATTTCCTCCACCATATCCTTTCACTATGATGTTCTGCCTCCCCTTAGAGCCAGAGCAATGGAACCAGCCAACCATGGACTGAATTCTCTGAAACCGTGAGTCAAAATAAGTCTTTCCTGCTCTATGTTGTTTTTCTCAGGTATTTGTTATGGCAATGAAAAGCTGACTAACACAATGGATATACAGTTTCAGTTTGGAATTGTTTTTTGTTTGTTTTTGAAAGTTTCAGATTTACAGGATGAAAAGACTTGGGGAGGTAGATGGTGATGATAATAGCACAACCTTATAAATATATCTAATATCACGGGACCATACACTTAAAATAGGTAAAGAATAAAAAGTTTAATAGCAAACAAAAATATGATTTTTAGAACAAGTGCAAACAGGCACCTCATGAGCCATATTCAATTGAGAAAGTGGGTTTGTTTGTTTGTTCGTTTGTTGCCCTATGCAGTGCCTTACACATTGAGCTACCCATTTTTTTTTCTTTGCTATTGTTTGTTTTGCAGAACTAAGGATGGAACTCAAGGCTTTGCTTATGCTAGGCAACCACTCTACCACTGAGCTACCTCCCCAGATCCTACCCAATACTCAAAATTATTAGATGCTCAGTGTTTTGAAATTGGGAGATTTCACTCCAGAATATGCATTTCTAACTTTTCTTCAGCTGTCTGAAAAGCTGACAGCACTTGAGTTGGCATTCTCTAGATTGATAGCTCCTTTCTTCACCATTGATGCTGAGTGTTCATTGCCTTTCATCATCTTCCAATCACCTCACCTTATTGTGTTGGATCTGTCTTATCCCCATAAGCATGTGAATTTGCAAGATTCCTCTTCCTTAAATTGTTTTTTAACAATAGTTTAATTCTTTAATGCTTTATTCAAATTTTAGTAACAATTTTAATCTTTATCTTGTTTTCACTTTCAGTATCAAAATTCTTCTACCTAGCTCATTCATTCCAAGAATCAGCAACAGAGGCAACTTAATTTCAAAAGGTCTTAACTATTTATTTTGAAATAACCTGTCTTATGAAGATCATTGAAACAGAATAAAAGACACAGAGACAAATCCACATAGATACAGTCATCTGACTCTTTTACAAATGTGCCAAAAACATGCATTGGAAAAACAATAGCTTTTTAACAAATTGTGTTGGGAAAACTGGATATTGGTATGTAGAACAATGTAGCCAGATCCTCATCTCTCATCCTACACAAAAGTCAACTCAAAGTGGACCAAAGACCCAGGAATTATCCTAGGAACTTTTCAACTGCTAGAAGAAATTATAAGTTCAACACTCCAACATATTGTCAAAGGCATTGACTTTCCTAATAAGATCCCTAAGTTTCAAGAAATAAAACCAAGAATCAATAAGCAAGATGCCATCATATAAGAAAGCTTCTGCACAACAAAGGAAACAAAAGTATAAAGACAGAGCCTACAGAACGGAAGAAAATCTTAGCTACTCTTTCAACAGGGGATTAATATCCAGAATATGTAAAGAACTCAAAAAACTTAACACCAGAAAGACAAATAACCCAATCAGTAAGTGGTAAAATGTCTGTTCTAAATATACATTTCTCAAAAAAAGCAGTAGCTAATAAATATATGAAAAAATGTCCAACATCTTTAGCAATCAGGAAAATGTGAAACAAAATTACACTGAGATATCACATCAGTCCAGTTAGAATGATAATGATCAAGAAAACAACACAATTGCTGGTAAAGATGTGGGAGAGAGTATACTTTTACACTGGCAGGACTGCAAATTTGTACAACCACTTTGGAAAGTAGTATGGAGATTCCTCAAAAGACTAGGAAATGGAACTACCTTATGACCCAAGTATCCCACTCCTTAGTATTTATCCAAAAGAACTAAAATCAGCCCACTACAATGAAAGATGCACATTGATGTTTATAGCAGCACAATTCACAATAGCCAAGTTAGGGAACCAGCTTAGATGTCCCTTAACAGATGAATGGACTAAGAAAATGTACACATGTGCACGTGCACACACATACACACACACACTCAGCCATAAGAATGAAATTATGCATTTTCTTAGTAAATGGGTGGGACTGGAGAACATCATGCTAAGTGAAATAAGCCAGACACAGAAAGTCGAGGGTTGAATGTTTTCTCTCAAGATATGGAAGCTAGAGAGAGAAGAGAAAGAAAGAATAAAGAAAAGGAGTATCTCATGAAAACAGAAGGAAGATCAATATGAGTAGAGGAAGGAGTTTGAGAAGAAGACAGGAAGGGGGGATCATGGGGAAGTCCTGGGAAACAAAATCTACTAAATTATGCTATTCCATGTATGAATCTTGCTTTTATATATAATTATATCTGTATATAATTATGTATATATAATTAAAATAAAAATAATTATCATAATAGAAGGGACATCAGTAGTAGAGCATGTGGATCAGAGGAGGGAGGAGGAGAGTGAAAGAGAAGGTAAAGGGGAATGAGATTGATCAAACTACGTTATGTGCATGCACAAAAATGGCATATGAACTCACTATTATATATAATTCTAATGCACCAATAGAAGAAAAAGAAACAATCTGTCTTCCAAATACTCTCAATTATTGCAATACTCTTACTTAATTGTTTTTCTAACCTCTTTTTGAAGAGAAACTGATTACTATTGCCTCTTCCATTCAGTTTGGCTTACGTCTGAAGAGAAGGTGACAACATTACCCCTGCTCAGCTCCCTAAAACACTGGAGAGTTACTGATTTTTCAATTAACAGTAAAAATGTCTTCCACAACTTTGAGGGTCACCCTTGCATTACACATTATGATAAGTTTACTCTAGAAAATAAGAATTGGTACCTCCATGGACCACAAAATTGTCTTGTTCTTCCCCTTTGAATGAGACCCAAGGAACCAAGCTGGCATTCATGGAAGGCTAAGCCTAGGAGACTAGCTGTGCGGCTCAGTATAGACCCTTCCTGATCCGCACTGTAAATATGCAATCAAATCTCGTGACACTCTGAGCTAATGGAGTTCAGCTACTAGAAGGTCTTTGGAGGGCAATCAGGTGCTATTAAAAATATGCTAATGGCAGCTTGTGATCTAGCAGCAGGACCCCAGGATTTGGGGTTGGCATGGCAACTGCCAGCAGATAGTTCATGCAGAACAGGCACCACAGAAAGAATTAGAATGAGCTGCTTAAGTGCAAGTGTTAATGAAAAATAGGGAACACAATTGAGGATCAGAGAGAATGCTTAGTGCCCTCAGTGGCACAAATAAAAACAAAAACAAAACAAAACAATAAACTTCACATACTTGCACAAAGCACAACTCCTGAAAGTGAAGTTGGATGTCTTCCTTCCTACTATGGCCATAAAAGGAAAAACAGGCACAAGGAAGAATTTATTATTTCGCCTGACTGTTTTATAGAGGACCTGTGACGTTGAAATCTGTGTGTTTCATATGTGAATGACAAAAGTGTCACATGTGTATGAGTCTCCTTGCCAAGGCTGAAAGAAAAGGTCTGACAGGGAACAGCTTTCAGCAATCCACTGTATCAAAGGCAGTACAGATGGTTGTTTTTCCTTTTAACTTAACTGAATATCAAAAAAAGGGAGGCTCCTTCACAAGGACATATTTACCATGTGGAAAGAAATCAAAACTGGGGCTTGCACCGGGGCAACCGCATTACTGGACAAACAATGTGTTTAAATGTGTGTGGACACATGTACATTCCTGTATTCTAGGAGTGCCCTGCATTTTTTTTCTCTTTCTCTCTGCCTGAAGCTAGAAGTTTCATTGTAAGTCAGCCTATGCCTCTATGAGCCTGAGACCACAAAACTCAAGATTTCTGTTTTCTCATTGCAAAGGCTAGATGCCGTTGTAAATGATTTCTTGTGGTGGGGATGGATAAAAAGCATGCTAAGTGCACCATACCCATTAGCTTTGCTGGGCCATATAGCTGAGGGGGTTGACAGAGTAAAATAATGTGGAAGGGAGCTATTGGAGACAGGCAGTGATGGGAACAGCTCCAGGAAAATAGGGGTAATATAACTGCATCTAGCACAGAGGCTCTCATGTGCTGAAGATGGAAATGAAGAAGCTGTTAAAGCAGAAAGTAGGCACGCATGTCCCCGGGGGCTGAGGGAGAAAGGAAACAGAGAGGCAGGCAGATCATGAATTAAGTGAGCTTGGGAATGCAAAGAGGACACTGGGAAAACTCTCCTGAAAGCTCAAAGAATAATCTGTATGCAGGAGAGTAGAAGCAGGGCAGAGAAGGAATTCAACCCTCAATGATTTATGCTTCAATCCACATTGTCCTTAGCCTAGCCTGAAATCCTTGCTTTGGGAAAAAGTTTTGTCATCTGAAAAGTACACTTTAAAATTACTTAGGCATAATTTCCTTTTCATAGTCACTTCCTTCCTTCTCTTTAATACAATAGCCCCTTAAAGAAAAACCAGGGGAGAAAAGCTAGTGGAAATGCGTATGATTTGAAACAATTGCTATTGTACTAGACATGTTCAATTAGCAGGAACTGACAGGTGTTCTGCTGCTGAAAGCATGGACCTAGGGATGTCTTCATATAAATAACATCTGGGGAATCAAGACTTTGTGGGGAGAAGCTGAGATTTATAGCATTTGAGGTGGGGGCTTAATAATTCTGGATTATTTTCAGAAATTCAGAATTGCAATACATGATTTCTAGGACCTTCCTAGAGCCTTGGAAAGGGCCGAGGTAAGTGAGGGGCAATGTCAGATAATGCCCATTACCTACTATAAATCACTATGTGAATACCAGTGGGGTACAGAGGAGCAGCTTTCCAACAAGAGGCCCTGAGGCAAGGAAAAATAGGGGTACATTTGTTCTTTTTATTCAATCACCCAAGGCACAGCTTGGGCTTAAAACACATTGTTGTCTGCTCATTAGACTAAATTCTGCATCCTGTACTGCTAATAGCACTTCCTGAGGAAATGGGCTGAAATTCCAAGATAATATCACTAAGAAACCAAGTGACTTTAAGGCATATTTTTAGGAATGCCTAAACAACTAGTATTTCACCTAAAATAAGACATGTTCTCTTGGTCTTATAGCTGATCTGATTGTGACTGGTGGTGGAGTGTATGGTATGAGATGAAAGTAGCAAAAAAAAATGTTCACCTTGAATCTTTCTACAGGCCAAAGGCAAAGCAGCACATTGCTTACATAGGAAGTTCAAACTTAATCAGAGCCATCGTTAAAGAGTGTGATGCCCCTAAAGAATGATTTGATTTTTGAGAAAATAGATCACTGTTATAGAGAAATCTTTTGCTTGTGAAATCACAGGAGCACCCCAGGCATTTAAATGGGCCAGTGTCGCTTACTTTCATCACAGGGGTTGTTATTCCTGTCTGGTTTACTCTCAGGGTGCTGGTGAGTGAGGCACACAGGACATGAATGGAGGAGCCAGAACTTTCTTCTCTTAGGGCGCCCTCTCGTGGGATTTGCATTAGTTACCTTGCAAGGGAAGGGGCACTCCAGTTGCCTTACACAAGGTCTTCTATGTTGCCTATAAAGCCTGTCATCAGGCCTCATCCAGAAATGATCTCCTCTCTCTCTCCTCACTGTGGGTGAACAATTGGATTTCTCCATTCTATTACATTCTTCTGTAAAAGTGTGTTTCTTACTCATGGGTAGCCCTGGAGTTCCAAAGTCAGACAAGATGAGTGTCCTGAGCACAAACTACTTGCATCCTACCGGGACACCCTTGAGTCCTCCTAAATGTGCAAAAACCTAAAGAGCCTGTCCCTTACCTTCCTCTTCCCTTGCCATCATCCTTCATTCCTGCAGAAGCACTTGAACTGTTCTCAATCACTTTTCTCTCCAGGCTCTCTCCCACACCCGCACCATGCTTCCTCTTAATCTTTAAATCTTAATCATCCTTCAGATCTCAGCCTAAAACTCTGGGAAGGGCTGCACTCATCCTCCAAACACAGAGTTTATACATCTTAATGCTTCCACTGTCCTCCATTTACTATCATCTCTCACTAGACTAGGCTCCCCAAGGACAGAAATTCTGTTTCTGTCTATGTTGTTTCTGGTTGTGACCCCAGTGTCCATTCTGATGTCCACAACATAATAGGTGTTGAATGATAAATAATCAGACATCATTCTCTCACATTGTACACACCCTTCTCAACCACTGATGTATGCACATTCAGTGCAATTCTAAGGCAGTATTGAATTACCACCGATTTCTTTATAAACAATTCCCCACACATACTATGTATCGTACATAAAAGGAATTGACAAAGAAGTTAAAGAGAATGGAGTGATAGCTAGAGAAGATTGGTGTCTACAAGGCCAAAGCTTTCCCTGCAGAGAGGACAAACTTCTCGGTGGATTTAGCACATCAATGGTCATGGTTAGAAACACTATCACAAGCAATTTCACTAAGTGGTAAAAATAACTGGTTCTGTGATCAGAGGCATTGGCAACTTTAATGTTTCAAGATTTCTATGAAGAATAAGGGAGTAGGCAGTTTGGTGTCTGTTGTAAAAAGGTCCCTAAGCAGGTGTTACTTTTTATTAAACCTTAGCTTTCATGTAGCCCCAGTGAAAGACTTTGATTTGGATGGCCTTTCAGGACCAAGGTGGAGCTTTATATCTCCCCAAATTACTATACCCACTTTGAACTCTCATTTAGCCCTTTTGGCTTCTCATCAGACTCAAGAAACAATCTAAGACTGTGAAAAAGCATTTTAGAAAAGGGTAATTACTGTGAATGACTAAAGAAGGCCTCCCAGCACCAGTGTTACCATGAGGTCTTAAAAACCTGAAAATCATATGATAATTATTCGTGAAGTTCCTTGGCAGCCCTTAAGTATAATTATGTAATCTGCAAGGCAGGGAATGTTTTCCAAACAAGCATAGATGCAAAAGAAAGCTAATGAGCCCCTTCTTTTCTTATTAGCATAGCTCAACTCCTAGGTCAAAGATGACCAAGATATAGGCAGCAACCTGTCACATCAGAGAGCACTCTCTTTCCGGTGGGAAGGCAAATCACTAGTGACTGGCCCTTGTCACCTATCATGACAATGCCTGCTGGCATTAAGCAGTGATTCTGTGACTTCATGGTTTGTTTCCTTTTAGACACTGAAAGCAGGGTATGCATTTCCTAGGTGAAGTACTCAAGTAACTCCTAAAAATTTTAAGATTAACTCACAACAAATTAAGTTGATCAGATGAGGTGGATGGGAGGCTTTTAGTTGGCATAGATTGTCAGGTACAGTGGGGAAATCTGGATAAATGGGTCCATAAAGACTGTTGGTTCTGCTCCTGATCCAAAATGAGGATTTCACTTGTCTTGCTAGGGAACACTGTGATGATTTCCTATCCCTCTGGAGCCAGAACTGCCCTGGTGTGAAATGCAGCAGCCATGCTCAAGAAACAAAGCATAAGACAATTTTACAGCTCAGGCTAGGAGACCAAGAAAGACAAATCTAATGACTATTTTGGGAGATATTGAGTGAAAGGTAATTTTCAAAACTCAGCTCATCTCCAGCTGAGAAGGGCTTATTTAGCTGCAATAGTGACAAGTGGCTTATCCATGAGGATGGCAGATGAAATCATTACATTGTGAAGTTCTCCAGGATAGAGACCATCTTCTTGATGTCAACAAGACACACGTTGTGCCATACAGACAGCCCTCAATAATAGCCATATTAATATGATCCCTTCTCTGCAAAAATCAAGTCTGCTTCCAGAACTATTAACTTACAGTAAACTGTGGAGTGGACAGGAGGGAGAAATGGGAATAGAATCTGCAAGAGTATAGGCTATGGTACTGTCCCTGTGTATTCCTGTGTGTTCTCCTGTTCCCACCCAACCCAAACTTTGGAGCTGCTCCACTCTAGCTCGCAGGGGGATCTTCCTCTTCAGACTTCTGTCTCTAGCCAGTTAACCTGATAGCTTGGCAGGATGGAGAAGGAAGA